GTATCTTATATTCAGTCTGTAAAGCTGTTCTGTGCACATATCCCAGCAGTTACTTGACAATTTCCCTGATGGGCAGGTCACACCAGTTGCCCAGCCTCTGTTCTGCTTCTTCTCAATCAACAGATCATCAACACATCCTGTTGTCCAGCCAGCCTTCCATCCCCTAATCTGCTACCTCACCAGAGCCCTGTAGACAGCACCTTTGATGTGAGTTCTCATGGATTGTGTGTCTGAAGAAACCAGGAATGGTTGAGTGGAACTTCTGCTTTTAAACCAGTTCAGTTAGGAGTCCTTAGGGTTTATTTTCCAAAACTTTTCCCATTTGTTTGTTTGTTTGAACTATTCTAACTATTTTTAAGTGTGCAGGTCAGTAGCATCAAGTACATTCACAAGCCAGGTATTGTGGTGTGTACCTGTAGTCCCAGCTATTCAAGAGGCTGAGGCAGGAGGATTGCTTGAGCCTGTGAGTTCAAGGCGAGCACGAGCAGTATAGCAAGATCCTATCTCAAAAAAAGAAAAACAAAACAAAACCCAAGGACCCAGGATTTAGCTCAGTGGCGCCACACCTGCCTGATAAGGGCAGGGTCCTGAGTTCATCCCCAGTTCTGGAGAAGAAACCCAGGGTGACTCACAGTGGGATGCAGCCATCCCAGTGCTATCCTCAGAACCCCTCCCTTTTCCCAGAACTGAAGCTCTACTCCCTAGCCCCTTCCCACCTCCTGGTGCCCCCTCCGCTCTGTCTGTGGCCACTGTAGCAGCCTTTCTATCAGTGGAGCCACAGAGTATCTTTCTGTGACACTTTTCTCATGTGGCTTCCATCCGCGATGTGGCATGTGCCAAAATTTCCTTGTTTTTAAGATTGCATGATACTCCATGTATGCAGATAAAACATTGTGTTTATTCCTCCATTGAAGCACACTTGGTGCTCCTACCTTTTGGTGTTGTGAGCAGTGCTGCTTTGCATATGGACATGCAGGTGTCTTTTCGAGTCCCTGTTTCATTTCTGGTTGCATGGTAATTCTGTTTAATTTTTCAAAAACCAGTGTATTTTTTCCTACAGCAGTTGCACCATCTTTCTTTTTTTTCTTTTTCTGTGCTGGAATTGAACCCAGGGCCTCACACATGTCAGACAAGTGCTGTACCACTGAGATACCCTTTCGTTCTTTTTTTTTTTCAGGCGGGGTGGGGGGGTGGTACTGGGGATCCTTTTAGCACCTGGCGGAACAACTGAGCTAAATCCCTGGCCCAAGATACCCTTTCTTAAAATATGATTTCTCGGGTAGCATCTTGCGAAGTTGCCTAGGCTGGCCTCAAGCCTCCCTCGTCCTGCCTCAGCCTGCTGAGTAGCTGTGATTACAGGCGTGCACCGCGTGCTCAGGACTTGCTGTGTTTTAATAGCAGCATCCTGATGAGTGTGTCTGGGGTTGTGCTTTTAGGAGGTGCAGTGCTGTTTGTTTGTTTGTTTTGTAGTGGTGAGGATTGAATCCAGGGCCTTGGGCATGCAAGCGCTCTTATCACTGGGCCACGCCCACAGCCCTGAGAGCTGAGTTTTTACTTTGGGGTGGGATCTTAGCTTTAATCTTCCCTGTCTGGCTGTCTCTCCTGAGAGGCTGAGCCACAGTAGTTGCTGCAGCTGAAGGCTGTCTAAGTTTGCCAGGCTGTAGATGCCAACAAGTAGATAGACAACAGAGTCATAGCCCTTGTGTCCTCAGATGTCTGAGAAGGCCTGACCGTCCCGTAGGACAAGGCCCGGCCTGCATGGGGCAGCAGCCCACGTTACCTCATCTTCTGCTGCGAGGTCTTGCTCTGTGCCCTGAACCCTGTCTCCCTGGTAGTGCTCACCTGCACAAGATCCAGCCTCCTGTGCTTCCCCCAGGTCTGATGTCATTATTAATTATTTTCCAAACAGGAAATGTAGGTGATGCTTTGTCTTTAGCTGTTTAACTCTGAAAGGCTTACCTGCTTCAAGGTCTGATCCAAGTTTTTGAATAGTGGCAGTCCTTTAGTGGACACTTTGAAATGTCAGCGAATAACAAAACTATCTTTTCTCCCTTTTTTGGTGCCAGGGAGCGAACTCAGGACCTTGCACTTGCAAGGCAGGCATGGTGCCACTGAGCTAAATCCCTGCCCCAAAACTTTTTTCTGACTTTTCTTCTGTCACTTCAGTATCTTCAGTGTAATCTTAGGGTAATTAAGCTTCTGTTAGAAATAGATCATTTAGTTTGAGATGCAAGGCCATGTTATATGTTTAGGCTCTATTTCATAGATTTTCTTAAGCATCAGTCAGGCAGCAGAATAGGTCAGGGAAAACTGTAGCAAATATATATATATTTCCTTTCCCGGAAACAAAGAACTGTCCTTGTTTTAATGCTGTAGAAACTTAAATGTTTATCAGAATCATTTACTAGAGATGTAGAAAAGTCACTGGTTTTGTTTATTTATTGTGGGTAAGTGAGAGAATGTATAGATACTCCTACCTCAGCTTCCCAGAGGACTGGGATTACAGGCATGCACCACCACACCTGGCTAGCACACTATCTTAAAAAGCTTTTTGAGGGCTCTCTTAAAAGAGAAATAACGGAAGAAGAAACTTTCTGACTGTCTACTAAAAAAGAGTGACCGAGTTAGCCTTCCAGATGTATCACTGCACAGTATGTCTCCCGAAAAATCAGAGCACATTGAAGAGACGGGCATGTGTGTTCCCTCGGCTCCTCGAAGAGACGCAGACGAGACAGAGCTGTGACCTGGTCTCCCTCATATGTGTTTGTCTGTACACATGTCAGGATCGTGTACTGTGAGGTTGTGTTTGAGATGGGATCTTGTTGCGCTGTCCAGGCTGGGACTCAAGGGTTCCTCAACCTCCCAAATCTGGCACCATAGGTTCTGCCCACCCTATGTTGTTTTTATGTGAGGTTATTCTTTACCTTGTACTTAACTAATGGTCATCCTAATCAAAAGGTTAATTAAAGGTACCTGATTCTTTGCTGTGCTGAGGATTGAACCCCCAGGGCTGTGCTAGGAGAGCCATGCGGCACGTCTACCACGCGGCACGTCTGCAGCTGACACCTTGCCAGGTTCCTGCTGGCTGGGTCTAGAGTCATTGGCCTGGAGAATCTTGCCTTTCGAGGATGTAAAGAATTAGCTAATTTTTATTAAGATCCTTTTCTGACAGAGGGCCTGTCTTCATCATCTATCCCGAAATGAAGCGTTACAGGTATAGATTTTAAACAGTAATTCCTCCTTACGACATTATCTTAATCAGGATGATTATCTTAATCAATAGATGAGCCTTTCTCAGGGTTCTCGGGGAGAACATTGCTGCCCAGAACATGAAGCACTGCAGTCTCCACTGCCTGGATTTCAGCCTCAAGCTTTGGGGTTTTGTCGTCATTGTTATTTTTTAAATGACTAAGTCCAGTGGGACAATGGGACATTTTTACATAGATAACATTAAATATTGGAAATTCATGCATTTACTTTTCGGTTCTGTGATTTACCCATATCCAAATCAGGTTCTTTATTTAAAAAAAACAAATTGCTAGGACCGAAACTAACCCAAATTTTAAATGTATGCCATAAAACTTTATTTTTCTTTCCTTCCCAGGTTCACCTCCATTTACCAATGTGAGCGATTTACATCATTAAGATGAGTTGAATATAGATTTCAATTACTGTTCTTCCTAAGTGATAAGGATGTAGACTTGTAAGCAGGACAAGACTAATCACCCTAGCCTTACACTGCGGGGCCCATAGGTAAGGCAGAGAGCTCCTCCACGCACCCCTCACTTGGAACTTCCGTCTCTGCCTATCTTTCTGATCGAGACTCCTGGGTGCGGGAGCCCGTGCAGGCTCACATAGGGATAGGCATCTCATTGAAAGTTGGCTGCTGCTCATTCATCTCTTGCTTCTCCAGTATTGATGATCAACCCTGGAAACCTCAAGTGAGGCCTTCACCTTGAGTCATTTCTGTCCAAATGGGACTAAAACAGATTTAGAAGAAGATCCTTTGAAAAGTGTTCAGTTGGATATTATGCATTGAAACTAGCCTGTTACCTTAATATGTTTATCAATCTGCTTTTCACATTAGTTTATGTGACATACTTACATAAAAATTACGAAGTTATTTCAACATAACTCACCCTATATTGCCTACCAGTGAGGGACACTGAATATTCAATGTGATTGATTAAAGGTAGCCAGCTTTAAGAAATAAGCTTCTTAGCCCCTTTATGTCCCTGGTATGCAAGGCGTACAACAAGAATACTTCCTAAATTTCCAGTGAGCAGAGAATAAACAGGACTCAAAGCACTGTGAATTGGAGACCCTGTTCTGATGCAGCCTGCAAGCTCACCGTTTGTTGTCCATTAAGAGCGAGTCCTCTAAGATAGAGTTGTCTCTGCCTTCCAGTCAGGAGAAAAGGAAGACATTGGCTTTGGTTGATAAGCAACCTAGATTTTTAAATAGCCTGTCTATGAAAACACTTCCTGTTCGTGCTGTATGTCTTGACTATACAGTGAGAAATGCAAAGTCTTTAGAGTGCCTCTCTGATTTGCTTGTGAACCAGATAATTCTAAAACATTAGACTCGGGGTTCATTTGTATAACGAGGAGATGGATCTGTTGAACAGTGGGTCCCTTCCTTTCTGAACAAGTTGTTTTAATTTGTAGCTCGCCACTTGGAAAGGGCAGTGACCTATTTTTAAAAATAAATGATATGTTGAGACAAACCCTGATACATATGACATACAGTCTCCAAAACTCACTAATTGAGGAATAATCATTGCATATCCAAATAACTTAATATACAAATGCCTTTTTCAGTAAATTTACTCAGATTTATAAAATTAGATTGCATACAGTTTTCAGGAACACTTGTATAGAGATTAGGCCTCATATGACTCTGGCAAGATGGCCAAATTTTATTAATCCAAGAGAGTATCATTTTTTACAGTGGGAAAAAAAATTAGGATTTGTTAACTATTTTTTTCTCTTTTTTGCCAGATTTGGAAATGGCAGTTGCCTATTGGAAATTAGTACTGTCTGGAAGGTTTAAATTTTTAGATCTTTGGAACACGTTCCTGCTAGTAAGTACCCACTCCTTGCTGTGTGTGCCCAGCCAGAAAAGAAACCAGCTGCTCTGAAGCTTATGCACTGACCTAACTGAAATCTTAGATGTACAAGTTGGGCAAACTGAGTCCCACCCAGAGGCCCTCTGGTATCAGGCAAGGTGCTGCACAACCTGTCTCCTTGCAGGGCGTGGCAGCTGTTGAACCCTGGGTGTCCCCTGGCAACTGCTTAAAACCTGCTTTGCCCTGTGGTCTCTGCAGGATGGGCTTCAAGTCCCTGCAGTCCTCCACTCACCATCCCTCAGAGGACCCTACACTGTCATTGTCCACGTCCCCCAAGAAATTTAAAGTACTTAAAGAAAGTGCCAGGACCGAGCTGCAGGTCCACACCGGCTCCAGAGCTGTGGATGCCCAGCTCCTGTGTGTGCCTGTAGCCAGGTGTCACTGCAGAAGGAAAGGAGGCCACTGGCAAAGATGCAGGCTGGAAACAGGGCCTCGCTGGGCTGTCCTGGTGAGGGGCAGGCGCAGCTGTGAGGGGCACAAGATGTGTCCTGACTCCAGAAGCAGTCATCTTAGGGGTGGTGGCAGGGACACTCAGACACCCCCACTCTACCCCTCCCCGCTGTCACAGGGTGAAAGGTGGCCATCTGTCCTGCAGCACCCCCCAAAAAGCAAGAAAATTAAAACGTACTGCTGTTTTATTTGAGTGAAACTGTGTAATTGTAGTACCTAATAGGTTTCATTTTGTTCTTAAATAAGTCTCTATTGTGTAGTGTCTCTACAGTATTGGAGTCCTTACTGTTTATACAGAGTACCATTTTTTTTTTGCAAGCAAAAAATAAATGTTTACTTAAAATATGAAAAGTAATGTTAAAAGATTATCCAAAAATTGTGTTCCATTTAACAAGTATAAAACAAGACTTCTAAAAAAAGTTTGCAATTAAGTACAAAATGCTTAAGAATATACTTTGATATTCACAGTGGGTATGTCTGAAAACATAAATTTTACTGCTGTAGCAGAGTGCCATTATTACGTGTGAGGATTTTATTGTTGTGCTGACTCCTCCGATGAAGGAGCCTCACTCCCTGATAGAAGGTCCCTTGGCCACTAGAGTATCTGAGAGTAAGCTCAGAATCTTTAATCTGCTGGGTTGTTTTTCTCTTGCACATTAGGAACATCACAAAAGATCAATTCCAAGGGATACATGGAACCTTCTGCTAGATTTTGGAAACATGATTGACGACGACATGTCCAACTATGACGAAGAAGGTACTGGACCTGGAGGCCTCCTGGGGAATGGGTCAGCCTGCCGTGGGTGCTACCTGCTTGCCTCCAGCATGAGAGGCCACACAGGATGCCCACTCAGTCCCACAAGACACATGCTGATTAGGCTGATGGAGAGGCGCTGACTTCTGTTTATTTCCCTAATGCAGTTACACATATCGCTGCTCTCGGTGCCTCGGAAGACCACATCAGAGTCATGGGCAGTGGGAGGCGCTGTGCCCTGGGAGGGTACCGGGTCTGTGCAGATGCACCTCCACCAGGACTTCCTGGGGCAGCCTCTCCCTGCTCCTCTCATCTGAGTGCCTTGCCCTTTCATTTGGCATCAGCTGCATTCTGTTCCTCACTAGTTCAGCTTCTTGCTTTGTGTTCTCCATACACGGCCAAGTGTCTGTGTAGTGCCTATCCATGCTTGTGAGTAGAGTCGGTTATTATGGCCAGCCCGGCTTCTAGGAGCATGAGCTGTAGCTAATGAGGTGAAACCCTCTGCAGAAAGAGCGGAAACCTAAGGCAGGGTGCATTGTGTGGCCAGGAGCTGCAGCGCCAAGGCCCCCCACCTTTGGAGGGGTCCTGTGGGAGCCTGGGCAAGGAGGAAGTGCTCCTGGTGGCGGGAATGCCCACACGACTCCAGAGAAATGGCGTGTTCCCGCCCTCGAACTGGTGGGCCCATTTGTCTGCACTCCAGGTTAGCGCTTCCTGACTCCCTGGAGCTGGCCATGCTGTGCCTGGTCCCTGAGTGTGTGTGCTGTCCTCACCAGCCATGTCCTCCTGCCACTCGCTGACCCTGACTGCCTGGAGAAAAGGCACTGGGTAAAACACGAGCTCTATGAATTTCAAATCATTTGGATTCTTGAAATACAAATGTTAGATTTTGAAGAAAATGCTTTGAATACAGTACTGGCTGAGCTGGCGTGTTGCTCAGTGGCAGTGTTTGCCAGTACGTGCATGGCCTGGGCTCGGGCTCCAGCCCTAACAAAGTAAAAAGAAGAAATTGCAGTGGCACCAATTTAAAGATCTTTGTGTTTGCTCCCCTTTAGGAGCCTGGCCTGTCCTCATAGATGACTTTGTGGAGTATGCACGGCCAGTAGTCACAGGCAGAAAACGCCGCCCTTTCTAGGAGGACTCAGGTGCAAGGAGGTGGGAAGACAACTTGCGTCCTGCAGAGAGCTGTGTTGGTCAGGTGCCATGTGTGTTGCTGCTTAGCAGCCATCCTCGCCAGCCACGGGACTGAAACCTATACTGTGCTTCAAGGCCACAGTGGCCACTGCCACTCCAGGAGAAGCTCCTCAGAGGACAGCTACTCGGGCGGGTGAAGATGTGTCGTCAGCACTGCTGCTTAAGGAGATGCCCATGCCCTAAACTCACAAAGCAACCAGTACTGTTTGAGAACTGCAGAGCACGTTGTTCGGCTCGTGACATAGGTGGACACCAGCAGTTACGCACTGCGGAGTCACCCCAGAGTTAGCTGTTAAGAGGCAGTGCAGGTGCCCTGGGCAGATCGGTGTTTCCATGTAAGTCAGAGCTACAGAATGTGCCCTAACGGAGGTGCCCGTGCTGGAGTCTGATGTTTTTTAATCTTGGTGCCAGAAATTCAAGATTTATATTTTTGAATTATCAGATATCTAGATTTACTATATCTATTTTTGTTTTCATGTTCTTTAGATGTTTATCTGAAAATCATTTTGCACTTTTGAGATGCTGTTAGTTTGTACCGCAGTGAGGCATCAGGTGTGATTTCAGCAGAGTTTTATTTTAAGCTGTTTACAGGCCAGGGGCCTATTTTACTTCTAATGCTGTTATTTGAACTTCCTGAGAAGTTTCATGTTTGTAATATATTCTATTATATTTAAAAAGACATTTTTCCATGAAAAATATTTCTTTTTGAGTGGTTAATTACAGGTTTAAACATCAAGTGCACTGGTTCCCTCCCCTTTTCTGTGATACGTTCAGCTCCCCAAGGCCAGACCTTCAGACCCTAAGCACAGAGGAGGCAAGAATGACATGCTGTTCTCCAGAGCAGCACCCAAGTCCTCCGTCTCAGGCAGTGCTGCCGCCTGTTTAGGCCTGAGTTAGCGTCTGCTGCTCGGTGTCCGGCCAGCCGAGGATCTACTCTCGCACGCTGGCATGGAGAACCCGGTGCCGTCTGCTCTTCCGGTGTCGTGCTTTGAGTGGCACTGTGCTGCCCCTGCCTCACATTTGCCAAGACTGCATCACAAGTGTGCCTTGCTACCCACCTGTGACAGCCGTGGAGCAGCTAGGCTGGGCTTGTTCCAGGCAGGGTCTCTGGTGTCCTTCACCCGGAAGCAGCTCCTCGCAGCCTGGGATTGTGGGTCCTGCCACCTACGAGCAGTCAGTGCTTTTGCGAGGCACCCTCCCAAGGACAGCGGGGGTGCAGGGCTGGCAGGGACCTGCGGCCGAGACGCCTCCATGTCCAGCCCTCTCTGTGCATGACGGTCTGACAGGGACAAGAGCAGGCCGAGTCGTGTGACCTTCCTCGGGTCTCTGGCCATGTCTGTAAAAGGGAAAGCTGGGTGTGTCCTCCTTCAGAACTGTGACTCAGAGAGTATGTATTTCGCGTAGCAAAAACCTAAGAAACATGGAAGCATCCTGGGCTTTGCAGATTCTCAATGAGTAATCATTCTGTTCAGAGACGTTTATAGAATTCAAATAACTATAAAATATGGGAGTCAGCAATACTTTTTAAGATTTAAAATTCTGTGGGGTTGTCAATAGATACCAAATTATTAATTGGAAAAAGGCTCTTCAAAAAATTGTTCTTTTTCTGTTTAGAGTTGTGCATGCTACACAAATGTTAAGAACTTCAGGAACACCAAAATAAATTATTTTCTGTGGTGTTGTGGTGTCGTCCCGTCTGTTTTCAGTTGCACAGTACATGCTGCTGCTTGTCAGGGCCTGGCTCTTCAGTAGCCGCCACAGTGCCCACCGAGCATGGTGGTTCCCAGTAGAAGTCACAGTGTGGGCGTCACACTAGGGTGTACTGGCCAGCTGAGGCGCATTGAACATCACCCAACATCATCACTTGCTCCTTTGCCAAGGACCTGCCGAGGGTCTGGAGTAGGTGTCGCCATGCTCTTGGCTATAAAGTTCATGTCATGCTAGATGTCTCAGTGCAGTTCAGGCCTCAGGCTCCATGGGGTGAGACTGCTTGCTTCTGGCTCTGTTGCCATAGCCACGGTTCCTAGTAAAATGCTGGGGATCATAAATAGTTTCCGAGTGGACAAATTAATGAGTTAACCTTTTCATTGTCTGTAGGAGGCTCAAGAGAGTGGAAGTTGTTCCCAGGGATTCTTGAGAAAGCTCCTGTTGCCTCCTGGCTGGCAGCCCTGCCGGCTTCCATAGTCCATCCGTCTGGCTGGCGCAGAGAGCCTGCATACCTTCTTGTTTTGAGGGACAGTCTCAGTGTCTCTGAGTTGAGCTGGCCAGTGGAACACCAGAACCTCAGTGTAACCAGTGCTCGCTGAAGGCCATCTTAGTATGCGGCTGCACACTGAAATGCTTATCAGGCGACCTTCGAAGTCCCAAGGAAGCAGCCACCTGGCGTCTGGGTGTCTTCATTTCAAACCAGGGACCTGGTTTGTGTTCTGCCTCACCCACCCCATAGTTGTGAATGTTGACTTAGCAGGCAGAGGTTTCTCGGCTCTGTAGTTGCTGCTGCGCTTCCCCACCCAAGGTGGAATTGCAGAGCACCGAGTGGGGAGAGGCGTAGGGATCCTGCCTGAGGAGCGGGGAGCCCCACCTCTCCTTCACACTGCACTTCTAAAGCTGTCACAGCATTTTATCAGAAGACAGTTTTTCCTAAATGAAACTGACACAAGGCAAATATTAGATTTCTGGGAAACTTTAGTACATGGCAAGGTAGCATGGTGGGTTTATTTGAGACTCCAGAAATGGCAAAGAAAACTAGCCTCAGCGATGAGGTGTCCTGGGATGAGGGAACAGCAAGCAGGCAGAGACCGCCTCCCAGCTGGATGGGCTGGCCAGCTGCTCCGGTTTCCACCTGCGCCGCCCATGGGTCCCCTGCAGGGGCCAGCGAGGACCGAGCCTGTGCTGTGGCGCTGGAGGCGACAGGAGCCAGCGAGCGCCCAGCAGCCACCCACGTGGTGGGGTCAGAGCCTCTTACTGGGCCACCTACAGAGACAGGAAAGGAGCGCCTGGCCACTTAAGAGGACGCCAGACGGTGATACAGTGACCGGTATAAATGTCAGCAGGGAGGGCTGAAGGCAGCCAGGGAAGGACAAAGCGGCGCCCAGCCAGAGGAGCCGCCTCCCAAGATGGAGAAGTTCAAGGCTGCCATGCTGCTGGGGAGCGTGGGCGATGCGCTCGGCTACGGCAACGTCTGCAGGGAGAACAGTGCTTTAGGCTCTGTCCAGGAGGAGCTGCAGAAGGTCGGGGGGCTGGACCATCTCGTGCTGTCTCCCGGGAAGTGGCCAGTGAGTGACAACACCATCATGCACATGGCGACTGCTGAGGCCCTCACCACAGGTTGGCTCCCCAGTGCCTTGCTAGCTGTGCTGGGGGATGGGGGCAGCTGCTCCGGTTCACAGTAAGTGTGGACAGCCTTGGAGGCACGCCTGTGAATCGTGTTACCTGATGCCACTGCCGAAAGTGGCAATTTAATGCGTCCAGTGCCCCTCAGCAAATCAGGCAGGCAGCAGGTCACGTTTCTCCTGCAGTGGCTCTTTGAGGGGTGGCATTACTTTCTTTGCAGATAATTAAGATTCAACTTGCAAGCAGCGGCTGGCACTGTGAGTGTGAACCAGGCCCATGCTGTGGCTCACCAGCTATGGAGCCAGGCGGCCTCTTGCCTAGCTGTCTGCAGGAAGCTGGCCACTGCACACTGAGTTGCTTGCTCTGAGTTTATTGCAGAGAACATAAAATGTAAGCCAGTCTGAAACTTGAACCCATAAAGATGATACTGTTTGGGCACTGTGTCTCCATTCCCTCGAACTACACTGCGAGGTGCAGCATGTGATGAGCCGGTGCCACGTGGGAAAGTTTACCGATAGTCAAGGGACAGAGAACAGTTAAGTGTTTACTGATGCACCGCGAGAGAGCAGCAGGGGAAGGCGAAAGGACTGGTGAAAAGTTGAGATTTTATTTGACCCTAATAGGAGGAGGGTATGGAAATGTCATCCCACGAGCCCTGGCGTCAGGTCACGGTGGTCCTGCTGTCCCTCCATCTCACTTGTAAGCACAGCAGGCCTTGTTGGGGGACTGATGTTTTGTTTCAGAGTCCAGTGCCCTTGGCACTGTTAGGAACAATACTTCTGGGTAACATTAATTGACAGATGTGTGGGATGTCAGCGGTCGGGGCTCAGGATATGTATTTGTACTTGGAGGGACTTCGGATGAGGTATTGGGCTGGGGAGAAATGGTATCTCTAAGACATGACAAGGTACTCTCTAAGACGGCCTAGTGATGTCTGCATCATCTGTGTGTGCAGCTTACACAAGAGGAAAACAGGAGGAAGGTTAAAGTTCTGCTGTGGATTCATCACTCGGCTGCAAAGTGGCCTTTAAAGAAACAATGGCAAAATAACCACTATTCCCCACAAATTAAGGTCAAAATATCTGCCAGAATGATTCAGCTTGGACACTACTTGTACACAGATGTGTTCTAAGGAAGTGCTGCAAGTTTGGACATAAGCAGTAATTTCTTAAACTATTCTGTAAGGAGCAGGTTGATCTTGGGATCAACAAGGGTTCACATAAGTTTCAGAGAAATAGTTGGTTCATGAACTCATCACACAGTTTTCCTGTGCATCGTGTTCCCTGAGACGTTAAGCCCTGACAGCAGATGGCAAGTCAATGGGGTTTCACCTACACTCCGCCATTCCGTTTGTCTGCCGTGAATGCGCTCAGTTTAGCTCTGCGGTCGCTGTGTAGGAATGCTCTCCACTGATCCCTAAATAACTGTGGAGAGCACTGAAACATGTTGATAAGATAAGCTGTCACAGCTTGTTAAAGGGGTGAGGCACACACTTATGAAACCCAAATATTTCCTGCTTCTGTGGTCATTGAGTAGGAATGCCCTTGGCTGGTCCCAAAATAACCAGGGAGAGCGCCTAGGCCTGTCCACGAGCTGAGGAGTGGAGGCTGTTGGAGTGGCGAAGCTCCTGGTATTTTCCCGCAGGCTGCTGCGCCTTTGTGGACAACAGCATGAAAGCAGTACCCCGAGCTCGAGCCATGCACGTCCTCGAAAACACAGCTGCTGTGTGCGCTGTGCTGTCTGTCGGCACTTGCTCTTGAAGCCTGCGTCTGTCTGATGTCCCACACACCAGAGCCACACAGTGGTCCCTTCATGTGCCCGGCGGAGGTGGCCTGGTGTCAGCCATTCTGCGCATGGCCACGTGGTCACTCGGCAAAGCGCTGGCACTGGCGGGGTGGCCAGTGAGGAGACTGGATCAGCAGGACACTCGGGGGAGCACCTGGCACCTTGGTTTTCAGGGAGAAACTGGATTGCTTGCCAGTGGTGACAGTGGGCAGATGAAGGCAGGTGGTCAGGGAGTGATGGGCCCTGCGTTGGCCTCTCAGAAGTGGGTCACGAGAAAGCAGTGACAGGTGTGCCCCTTTATCGATCGATGGCTTCTTCAGAAACTAAACCAAGCATATTTTTTTGAACTCTAAATTTCAAAGTTGAAATCTCATCTAATTTTCTTGAAGTGGCAACGTGTAGCGCATTACAGGGGTCTTGGAGCCACATTAGTGAGGGTTGACAAACTGCCCAAGGCTCCGGGGTGGCAGCCTGTCCTGTCTGCACCCTAGTGTTAAGGACCCCAGGGAATGAGGCTCACTGGGGAGAACCAGGACAGGGCTGTTGGCCCCTAGGACTGCGTGAGGGAGAAGACACGAGGAGAGGCCAAGCCCTGGGAGGGTCAGGACAGCGTCCTGCGGCCCCTAGCTGCACAGCAGCACAGGCGAAAGTCTGGCATGCGGCAGCTGTGCACCTTTGCTAGGGACCAGGCTTTGTTGGGTGGCATGATGGTCCGTTCCTTGTCCCTGAGTGTCCTTGGCCTTGGGGTCTCAGGGTTGGCTCATTGCATGTTCCTGGCCACCCTACCCATTCGACTTTCATCACCAGTCAGAGCACAGAGGGAAATGTGGGGTCCTTTTGTCTCCCTCCAGGGAGGCTGTGCCTGGTGATCGGCTTTTCTCCATCAGGACTTTAGCTCAGTGCCATAGGCCTGCTCTGGGGAAGGAGGTACATGGAGTGGAACTGCTGCCCTACCACGCAGAGCAGCCCAGGAATCTACAGCTGGAGAACACATTTCTAGTCAGATTCTAACCTGAAAAACCAAGGCTCTTTATGCCATTGTATTTATGGACTTTATTTTGTTTGTTTGTTTGTTGTTTTTTAAAATTCAGCTTTAGTTACACACTGGGATTTCCTGATATCTGATTCCAGAATAAAAGTCATTATTTTAAGGACTTGGAGGGGCAGGCGGGCAGGCCAGGTGGAGGGAGGAAGGCCTTTTGTAAGCTGACCTCAGCGGCAGGAAAGCTACATAGGCTGGGCTTCCAGGCAGCCTGAACACCCCGGCCCCACCTCAGCCCAGTCCTGTGCAGACAGGCGTAGCCACTCTGCCCCCCAGGCCCTCAGCACCCTCTCTCCTGCCCCTCAGGGCTGGTAAGGTCAGAGGCACAGTGGGGTCCACACCCAGGGCTTCGCACTGTCCATGCATCACCCTCCTGCCCAGCCCCGGCCTCACGGCCTTCGGGGGAGACTGTCAGCACTGTCCCTCCCTCGGAGGATGCTGTACTCCTGTCCCAGGAGCCCTGGCTCCTATGCCCTGAGCTGGGCCTTCTGTCTGCAGCTTTCCTGAGGTGGTAACACCTGCCCTCAGCATCTGTACCCTCCTCTGTTCCTACCCCCACCCCCCAAGACAGGGCAGACATTGCAAAAACAAGGCTGCCTCCCACAGGGCACCAGACTCCCTGAGTGGCACTGTGGCCCTGAGTGAAGTCCTGCTGCCGGCTGTCACAGGACTGTGGACAGCACCGCCCTCCCCTCTGCAGCCCCAAGCTCCCTCCTGCACAGCTGTTCTTGGGGGTGGCCAGGCCCATGGACTCCAGTCTCAGTGGTGTGTGCTGTCCACCAAGCTGTGGACCAATGTCCCAGCCAGAGAGCTCTTCCTGCAAGAAGACATCACCTCCCTGAGCCTTTTCTCAGAAAAAATGACAAAGTAGGACCCAGTGTGGGAGGCTCACATTTGGCCTCCTACAATGCAGCAGTCCAGGTACAGTGTGGGCCGAGGGTTGGTCTCCTCCTGGCCTGGCTCTTTGTCCCTCAGGCCCATGGTCCTGGACGTGTCTTCCTGTACTTGTCCCCAGATTGTGTCTCGAAGGGTGGGACACAACTTGGGCAGAGTGGCACTGCAGGGCCCCTGGCTTTCTTGAAGCCAGCAGAGTTTGGCACTAGAGACAGGCAAGGCCCGGCTTCCGTCCCACCCAAGGCAGGGCAGCCAGGCTCAGCACAGTGGCCCTGACATGGACGGAGCCATCAGTGCTCACACCCCCAGATTGTCACGTGGGGCAGGACATGCGTGCAGCCACCTTCTGTGTCGGGCATCAAGTGAGGCCTGAAGCAAGTTGTCGGCCAGGCCTGTGCCGCAGACAGAGCTGTGTCCACACTGACGCCTATCCCCGCTCTGCCCCTCTCTCCTTCCCAGACTACTGGTGCCTGGACGACCTGTACCGTGAGATGGTGAGGTGCTACGTAGAGACCATCGAGAAGCTTCCAGAGCACCAGCCTGACCCCGCCACCGTGGAGGGCTGCTCACAGCTGAAGCCAGACAACTACCTGCTGGCCTGGCACACGCCCTTCAGTGAAAAGGGTCAGGAGCCCATCCTATCCCAGAGCTGGGCGCCTGTCCGCACGGCACCCGGCTTCCCCTGTGTGCTTTGTCCTCCGTCCCTGGTTCACTTTCAAGAACGGTTTCCATGTGCAGCTGCATCTGGGGGGTGCAGTGGAGGTGGCTGGCCCTGTCCTGTGCCTCCTCGGGTGAGTGGGGCTGGAAGCTGCAGCCAGGGCCAAGTGGTCTATGCTGCTGGTGAGCCACCCCCCAAGACAGCCTTGGCCAGGGCTGTCCCTGAGAGGAGGGGCTCACAAGAGTGGCAGAGACACTGGTAGGACAGGCCAGCTGCTCTGGCAGCCCAAGAAGGTCAGAGAGAAAGTCATGGGGGAGCTGGAGGGGCAGCCAGGGCAGGTAGAGACTGCAACCGACCTTGATGTCTCCAGACGTCTCCACGAGGTGCAGGAGCACACAGAGCTGCCTAAGGGCTGGGAAGAGGTGCCAGGCTCCCGGAAGAGAGGCTGATGCTGTCAGTCAGGGTCACAGACTGGAGTACCCTCTGCTCCCCTCCGTCTCCCCCAGGAGTCTCAGGACCCAGGAGGACGGTGCTCTAAAGTGACGAGCAGAGACAAGAGCCCAAGGATGCACTTTGAATTGTGTATGAGCAGCTCAGGCTCCCCTGCAGATGTGGAAAGCCCTCTACCACAGACTGGGGAAGAAAGCAGTACGCCTGGCCCCGCCCTGCTGTGCTCACAGAGAGGGTATTCGTGGAGAGAGTTCTCAATGCACCCAACCATATCCATAGTGGCATCAAATGTAAAGGGTTTGAAGCCCCAAACAACGGCCCAGGGCTCAGGCTGGACCAGGAATCAAGTCCCCACTGTGTGCTGCCTACAGGAAACGCAGCTCAGTAGGTGGACAGCAGAAAGATGGGAAGGGTGCACATGCAAGTGCTGTCCAAGAAAGCCACAGGCTGTGGGTGGCCCCGGTGGGATGTGTGCCCAGCTAGCAGAGGCCCAGTCCACCCCAGGTGACACAAGCAGAAACCAGAGAGAGTAACTGTATTAATAGTCACAGTAGATTTGGGAGCAAAGAGTATGGCCAGAAATAGAGAAGGCAATGTCACTGTGATACAGGGTGGGTCATCATGGCGTTCACTGGGATGACATGCTTACATGCTGCACACACCTGTCATCCCAGCTACTCAGGAGGCTGAGGCAGGAGGACCACAAGTGTAAGGCCAGCCTGGCAGAGTGATAAGACCCTGTCTCAAAAAAAACATTAAAGGATGGGCCAGGGTTGTAGCTCAGTGGCACCACGCCTGCCTCACCAGCACAAGGTCCTGAGTTCAATTCCTGGTGCCAAAAATAAACAAATAAATAAATAAATTTTTAAAAGAGGTCTGGGAGTGTAGGTCAGTGAAAAGGCCTGGGCTCAATCCTCAGTAATGAAAAAAGAACTAGGCCAGGGATTTAGCTCAGTGGTTCCAGAGCCTGCCTCACAAGCACAAGGTCCCAAGTTCAATCCCCAGTACCAAAAAAAAGAAAAAAAGAAAAAAGAACTGACCCCCTCTAGCTAAACAATAAAAAAGAGGAGGATGAGTCACCTGTGCCAACCATGAAGGTAAGGCCAGTGTACCTGCAGAAATGAGAGGAAGAGAGGGAAACGCTGTTACCAGCTTCACACCAGTGAGTCTGACAGCACAGCAGAAGCGGACAGAGCCCTTGAAGGGCACAAACCACCAAAGCTCCCTCTGGAGAACCAGGAGGCCTAAACGGCTCGTGTCTTACAGAGAACCACGAAAAAGACTGCATGGGATCCTACCTAACACTCACGGGAGAGACGCAGCTGTGCTCCAGCGAGCAGGAGCCTGTTTGGAGCCTGTTTTTAGCTTTCCACTAAATTCCCACCAAATTTGGACCAGATTTGTTTAAGTCCTTTTCCATGCCTCACGGTTGTGCCTCAGAGACTCCAGGGAGCACGGAGAAGTGGGATGGGAGAAAAGTCTCACCGCAGATGTCTGAGGGGGGCTGGGGCCATCTGAGCAGGCCGCAGGCCACAGCCCACCCATCTGCAGCGGGCAGAAGGCTCAGACACTTTGCCAAAGACCACATGAGGTGTTGACAGCCACAGAAGCCACCCAGCAGCAGTGGTCATTAGGAAAATGAAAATAAACCACAGCAAGGAACCACTCCTGAGCAGGCAGCGAGAGAGAAAAAAGCACGGGGCTGCACAAAAATCCAGCCAGCGGGCCCTGCTCCCCACACTGGAGCACCCGACGCTGGAGCATCGCATCCAGCTGCCCGTCAGAGGTGAATGGGTGACAGCCGAGCAGTGTCTGCATCGCCAGCAGCAGGAAGGTAAACTGCGTACACATAGGAGGCGTCTCAAGGCGGTTAGGCTGACTGACAGAAGCCAGGCGAAGTAAGAGCTGACTCACGGGGTGCTGAGAAGTGCAGAGCCCTTGGCCTTCCAGTCCAGGTGCAAGCCCAGGAAAGGGCCTCAGGTGCACGTGTTCTCCCAGCCTTGGTGGCAGCTTTGGGCTGTGCCATGCACCGTGTGCCAGCTGTAACTCAGGGAAGCTGTCTTTAGAGAGAAAAGGCCTGCCTGGTTGACAGCACAGGGTGGACACAGCCTACCTCTGTCTTCCCAGGGGGCGGCCCATTCCGAGCCAGTCCTAGCCCATCCGAAGTCTGTTTTCAGTGGCTGCATAGCCTTCCCGCATCAGTGGAGCCTCCCTTCCGTGTGACAGTTTGCTGGTGTCCACCTGTTCGAATGACCTTCCAATGAGCATGTTGTCACATAAGTTTCCTTATAAAACCCAATTGCTGCGGTGGGCTTCTTGGGGTGCGTTCTGAATCTGGGTGCTCCCACACAGGCTCGGGGTTTGGAGCGGCCACCAAAGCCATGTGCATTGGCATGCGGTACTGGGAGCCGGCGCGGCTGGAGACCCTAGTGGAGGTCAGCATCGAGTGCGGCCGGATGACCCACAACCACCCGACAGGTGAGGCAGCACTGGGGTGTGTTCTCTCACCTGCAGTGTGGGAGCCCAGCCCAGCCCAGAGCTGGGTCATTTCTCAACCTTCAGCTCTGCTTTAGGGCCACTTCCCATGAGGTGCTAGGAGGCCAGGTTGAAGATTCTCACAGGTTCTGATGCTGGGCTCCAGGCTGAGTCGGGCATGGTGGAGCCATCACCCTGGTGGCCCAGCTGCACCTCAGTCTCCCCACCGGTGCCAGGCAACAGTGACAATGGCAGACACACCCACCAGTGGGCTGAGTCTCCCACGTGGTCCCAGGACACGGCCAGTGCTGTGGGGTTTCTCCACCTCCGTGTGAGCGTCACCCAGAGGGACACGTCCTCATGGAGAGCAGGTGTCAGCCACCCAGCACCTGGCCCTGGGAGGTGCCACAGGAGGCATGAGGAGGTGCTGGGTCACTCCCTCCCCCTCAGCCTTGCAATGCAGAAGCCTCCAAGGTCACCTTTCCAGGGCTGGTGCAGCCGAACTCGCTCGTGCATCCCCCAGATAGCGCCCAAGCAAGGGCAAGAGCAGCCCTGGTCTGCATGGCATTTTCCAGGCAGCTGCTGGGGGCCGTGGCCCACACCAGGAGTGCCAGGCCTGCGACCCCTGTCCTTAGCTTCTGACTCAGCCTGTGGGCAAAACCTGGTGCCTGGAAAGGAGTTCTCATGGGGCCCCTGCTGACTGATGGGCTCAACTAGTAGTAAATCCAAAATCAAACCTTCAGCCCCAGAAATGCCAAGGTTTCAAGCACCGTCAGGAACACAGGCACCTGCATTCTGAGCTCGAGCTTCTGTGGCACTTGCCAGTGTGTCTCCACGCTGACCTGCACACCCCTCACACACTCGCTAGTGGAAGGCTTCATCCACTCGGGCTGGGCCTGCGGGCCTGCAGACACACTTGGAAATGCCCCCCACTCCCCTCTCCAGTGTCAGCCACCTTGGCAGCCGCGCCACCATGTCTGCATCCCTGAGGAGGCCACTCAGGGGCCAGGGGACGCAGCTGGGCTGGTCAGCCCTCACATGAAGTCGTCCTGCCTGGGGTGTGGGGAGACCCAGAGCCCCTGTGGCCATCAGTCTCGTGGGCAGCCACGTGAACTGGCTGTCCAGTCCTCACCTGACGAGGTCCAGTGCAGAGCTGACCCCACGCTGCCCTGGACAGCCAGGGTTTCGAGGTCAGGACGCACGCAACTACAGTCTGTGCCCAGGCCAGGTGACAGCTGCCTCTCCTCTACGCCCAGGCTTCCTCGGGTCCCTGTGCACAGCCCTGTTTGCGTCCTATGCGGTGCAAGGAAAACCACTGGTGCAGTGGGGGCGAGACATGCTGAGGGCTGTCCCGCTGGCCGAGGGGTACTGCAAGAGGACCATCCGGCACACGGCGGGTAAGCGAGCTGGCCCCGGAGACAGGTGACGCCCACCTGGCAGCGGGAACGCCTGCCCGGAACGCTGCTGATCGCTGTGGGGCCCCTGCCGCTGACCACAGCAGTGAGGAGGAGCTGGTTCCTGCCGAGTCTCCACTGACCCAGTGTGGTCAGGCCAAGAGGGGCACGCGTCCTCCAGGGAGGGGGGCCCGCCTGCACCCCAAACACCCTGCCTCACCTCCGCCCAGCCTGGAGATGTGCACGTCCCTGCCACAAGCCCGAGACCCTGCCCACAGGGGGCATCTGCACCCCGCTCACCCAGAGCCTGCTGCCCCCATGCCTGTCACTTTACCAGCCTGTCAGTCAGAGGTCCCAGGAGTCCTCCAAGTTAAGGTTGGGGGAGCGGGTGTCATGGCCCTGCTGAGGGGAGCCATGGGGAGCTGGATGCGGGGCCCCGGTCAGGGCCAGGAGCCCAGGGTGCACCCCAAGGCCAGTGCTTCTGGAAGGTTCTTTTACCTTCAGGGGAGGGGCCCTCAGCTCCCGGAGAGACGTGAGCCGCAGGGCGCGCGCCCCAGGATGTTTTCCTGCGCTGCTGTCGCTGCCTGGCATCCTGGTGGGAAGGAGCAGAGGGGCAGGGTGGGGTCTGTCTCACTAGCCTGAGGCAGAAGCCTTGAGACCCAGGCTGAGGGTCGCCTCAGCGTCCGCCTTCAAGGGTGAGGCTTCTGGAACAGCTTTATGAGGACCCACCTGCTTGTCCTGTACCTGGTCACAGCCCTGGAGGACACTGGGCCCGTGGTGGTGCCAGCCTGTCTCAGGACTGTCCCCCTGCCCTGGGCTCGGCCACCATGAGCCCCACCACCGGACGCAGCTGCAGCACCCAGCTTCCGGGACTTGGTGGTCGTGGCGGGGTGCAGCGGAGCTGTGACCTTCCAGCGTTGCAGGCCCAGGGTCAGTGGGGGCCCTGTGGAGGGGAGCAGGTGCCTCGGTGCAGAGCCACATGGCCCAGCACCCTGAGCAAGGCCATTGTCCTCGGTATTTCCTGTGGGACCATCCGGGCCTCATGAGGATGGAGCCCACTGGCCAGATGACCTGGGCACCACACCCTGCTTTGGGGGACTGAAATGTACACCAGACAGGGATGGCTCTGAAGATCAGCCCAGGGATCCTTCTGTTTGGTGTCAGATTTGTTACCTGGAGTCCCAAGTCCTCTGACAGGGACACCCAGTCCAGGCCTCCCAGGCAGCCAGAGGAGCGTGGTCTGGACCCTCAGGACACCTTCCCCTGGGCCACTCCCGGTCCCAGGACAGTGAGGGGCCAGAGGCCCTCTGTTGGCCGGGCTTTGTACGGCTGCTGGCAGAGCCATCTGACCACAGCCTGCTTTCAGGGTGCTGTGTGCCCACACTGCCCATGTCCCAGGCTCGGTATGACCCTAGGGGGTGGCACGGGTGACTGTGCAAGCCCAGAGCAACTCAAGAGCCCTCTGGCCCTCTCCACGTTGTCCCAGGCTCTGACTCTCTGCAGTCGTGTCCCTTGTGCCTGGCTCCCTCAAGGGGCAGGGCAGCCAGACCCAGCCTAAGGGCTCAGAAACTGGAAGAGCACTGGAAGCACACCCTGTGGTGTGTCTTCCTCACCAGCAGGGCCACCAGGGGCTGCCGCTTGTTTCCGGGGCTTGGGTAGCAGCTATTAACTAAGAGCACGGGACTTCCTGCCCCTGCTGTGGAGGTGCCATGTTAACGGAGTGAAAACACTTGGCTTGCTACGAGAAGGCGCTGGGTCACTGCAGCCCTGCCGAGCTCGAGCAGGACCCACTGTCATCTCCAGCTTCCTCCCGCTGGCCAGGGTGGCCACCGGGGCTTCAAGCCTGTTTCTGGCCATGTCCCCTGGGCACACCCCTCCATCCTCCCAAGCTGCCCACAGAATGGCCCCAGCCACGCTCCTGTGCTTGCGTCTAGAGTACCAGGAGCACTGGTTTTACTTCGAAGCTAAATGGCAGTTCTATCTGGAGGAGAGAAAAATCAGTGATGACACGGAGAATAGAGCTCACTTTCCCGACAACTACGGCAGTGCAGAGGAGAGGGACAAGGTGAGTCGCAGCCAGCACGGGACTGCAAGCTCAGTGTGCAGAGTGGGTGGGCACAGAGACGGACAGACGGACAGACGGACACTGGCATGGGGGTGGAGGCACGGGTGGGTGCTGATACTCTCAAGCCTAGTTTCTGCTGCTGAGGGGCCGCATCCCAGGTGAGGGGAAGAAACAGAGGGAGGCTGGGTGGTCGGATAAAGGGTGGACAGATGGCGGATGGATGGACAGCAGCTGCAGAGGGACCCCGGACCTTGGGCCGTCTGCACGGATGTGTTCTGCTCGGGCCATGGCTTGACCCAAGCTCTTGCCAGACTTACAAGAAGTGGAGCTCCGAAGGCCGAGGGGGAAGACGGGGCCATGATGCACCCATGATCGCCTACGATGCCCTCCTCGCGGCAGGGAGCAGCTGGGCCGAGCTGTGCCACCGGGCCATGTTCCACAGAGGTGAGACGCCCTCCACCCTGGAGCCCCTCGGCGGGGGGGCCCGAGCTCCCTCTGTGAGGCTCTCCACACACCACCTCTGGGCCCCCAGCACCCCGAGCCCCGGCCTTCAAACCCCACTGGGTGCTGCTCGGGCCACCACGGTACTGCAGTGGCCACTTCCCTTGGAGCGACGGTGTGGCCTCCAACCTCCCATGCTCGGGTCCTGGATGGGCCGCTTGGCTTCCAAGCTGGTTTCCTCCTGGCGGTGCCACCGCATGGGACTGAGTGTGAGGTGGGCGGGTGGGGTGGGCACTCAGTGCTGACACCAGGCCCACAGCGGCTTCTCCTGTGGAGGGGCAGTGCCCCAAGGTGGGGTGCAGCAGGAAGAGGTCCTGAGCAGAGGGGAGTAGGTGAGGAGCTGCACGGAGCCAGAGACTGAAAGCAGGCGGGCCCAGGTGGCTTGGGGACCGGGGGAGAAGGGAGCTGAGGGAGAGTGCGGCCAGGAGAGAGCACGGGTGCACGGAGCCAGAGGGAGCCAGGTGGGCGCCTCAGCAGCTCTCCTCCAGGGCCCAGCTGGGCTGCCAGTGCGCCTGCGTGCGGACGTGAGTCTGGGGTGGGGTGGTGGGAGTCTGTGCGGAGTGTGACAGGTGTGGGCTTGACCGTGGGTGTGGACTGACTGTGTGCGTGGAGAGCGAATGTGCGTGTGGCTGCGCGTGTGCGAGCTTAGTGCCCTGTGTGGGTGTGCACGGTGTGTGCGAAGGAGCTTCTGTGTGGGTACAAGTGCGTGTGCAGGTGCCAGGATGTAGATGCAAATGTCAGTGGCTGTGTGTCGCATGGGTGTGGGCTGGCTTGCCACCAGGCAGGCGTCTTCGGGGCTGGTCCTGCTCGCGGCTGGCTCGGCACCGCCCTGCTGTGTCCTGGCCCGGCCGCAGTGGGCTGCCGAGGGTCCGGGCAGCTCGAGCCCTGGCCGCCTGTGTCTGCGTTGCAGGGGAGAGCGGTGCCACAGGGACGATCGCCGGCTGCCTGTTTGGCCTGCTGCACGGCCTGGACGCCGTCCCCCGGGGCCTGTACCAGGAGCTGCAGCACAGGGCCAGGCTGGAAGAGCTGGGCACCGCCCTGCACCGCCGGTCCTCAGAGGAGAAGTAAAGCGTGTCTGCGGCCCGGAAGGGCGCCCTGGGGTCCACACACACGCACACACACACGCGTGCACACACCCCCTTGAACCTCCCTGCCCCGGGAGCGGGGAGGAATGGGGCTGTAACCGTGTGTTACCGCGTGCTGCATGGAATACGTTGTTTGTCCTACAAGAATATTTTTCCTGACCTCAGAGGAGCCTAGAGCTTTTCCATTTCACTCTGGACCTGCTACGCGTGCCTCTGCAAATACAGCCTGAAGACTGGTCTCCTGGACGGTGGTGTGCTTTACTCTGTTGCGAGACTAGTGAATGCTGTCCGCTCTCTCACCCCAACAACGCTGGCTGCGATGCTTCTCCTTCCGAGCACCTGGCTCCCTCTCTCCACCTCCTCCTCGCGGGTCTGGAAGGCTGGGGCGTCTGCCGCCTGCTCAGGCTTGGGGCGGCAGTGCTCATGTGGATCACCCACGCCACAGGCCTTCGGGAAGCAGGTTTTGCTGTGCTACAGCTCTGGAACCAGTCTTCGGAAAAACTCGCTGAGAAGGCCAGGAGCACAGGTCTCCGGGCACTGCCTGCCTGTGCCCTCGGGCCTCTCGTCACACTGCACTGAGGACCTGCAGGCTCCCCCGGGGAGGGCAGGAGGGGTCTGTCTGCCTAAACGACTTTGGCGACTCTGGCACGTCTGCTGTGCTGGGCCTGGGGCCGCACGGCTTGTGGCTGTAGTGTCGTTCTGTCCCACAAGGTACTCTCTGCTCGGAGCTTCGGGCAGGCGCGAGCGTGGGCTTGCTGAGGGTTTGGATGGAGGCCAGGCCTCTCCTCCTGCGGGGCTACTTCTGGCACAGCTGCCCAGGGCTGTGGGCGGCACAGTGAGGGCACCATCTGCAGGGTCCCGTGTGCTGGAGTCTGAGTGGCACTGTCCTGTGGCCATTTTCCCTCCCAGGCCAGCTGGAGAGGAAGGTGCTCCTGGGCTAGGAAGCTGCTCCAGTGGAGGCCCCGTGCCTGCTCCAGGGCGAGGTGGAGCTGAGCGCAGGGAGGTGGAGGCTTCCACACTGAGCGGAGCCATTGTGTGTGGACTGTGCTTGAGCGAGTCAGCTAGTGACCTGCTTTTGGCGGGAACCATTCCCAAGGCCGCACCATTCCCACAGCGGTCTGCCAGGAAAAGACCCCACCACCACCCCGGCAGGGCGCACTGGACGTGCAGGCCTCCGCAGCACCCCAGCTCAGCGTGCGCAGCGGCAGAGACCTTCCGTCCTCTCACGCCCGCCGCCTCGGAGTGACTGATGCACTCTGTGGGTGTGGCCGTGGGGACTGAACCAGAGGGGCTCCACCACGGGGCTGCGTCCTCACCTTTTCCACTCTTTTGCTCAGATAAGGTCTTGCCAAGTAGCCAGATCCTCCCGGCTGTGATTCTCCTGCCTCAGCTTTCTGAGCAGCTGGGATTACAGGCATGCACCGCTGCGTCTGGCTTGCTTTCATTTTGCGAACATCTTTAACCCTCTGCTCTTTACGTCACCTTTAATGCTGCTTTCTCACCTCTTCTGAAAAGAAATCGGTTTCTGCCAGCAGCACAGTGGTGCTGCACTGCTCGGATGTGGGTTTTCTTTCTCTGATCTTTCTGCAATTGTGGTGCTTCCTATATTTTGTTGTGCTCTGTAGTTTAATTGGTGGAGTTCTTTCTCTAAGGCCTAAGAAACTGTGGATCTGACCAAGCGCACGTGGACCCACACGGCCACTCACTGGTGCCCAGGGCTGGGGTCAGTGCCTCTACCTTGCAGGGGCACACCAGAGGACGAGGCAGGTGTGGGTTGCAGATGTGGCCTGCTGTACCCTGATTTCTGCTTGATCCACCCCAGCCTTCTTTCTCAGAGGCTGGAGATGTGGAGTTGAAGCTGGGACTTAGGACCTAGGGCTCAGGTTGCTAGCAAAGGCGTCCCAGGAGAGAGCTGGGCCCCAGCAGCCACTTGTGGCCTCCAACACATGCACAGGCTCTGTGTGAGAACCAGCAGTGTGGCAGAGGCTGGGCAGGGAGACACAAGTCTCTGGACTTCACGCTGAGTTTGATGAGTTTATTTCCCAAACTGGATGGCTGACAATCTTTCATGTGCACTTAAAGTCATTTTTCAGGTTTTCCTACCCGAAAGCTAGATGAGAGGTAGGTTTGACAGATGTGGTCCTTCTGACATTGCAGGGAGCAGATCTTGGAGGTGAGATGACTGAACATTCAAGAGAAGGTCTGAAAAAGACACTGAATATCCAGACAGGGTGGAGCTTGCAATCCAAGCTACTCAGGAGGCTGAGACAAGAGGATCTCTGGCCAACCTGGGCAATTCAATGAGACCCTATTTCTTTTTCTTTTTAAAAAAAGGACACTGATGAAGTAATGGTAAAACTTAAAACACGCACTGTAAAATGGGCACAGCCTACACTGCCACAGCCTGGACTCCAGCCACCCACGGCCGGTCGTGGTAACAGCCACTCTCTGGAGTGGTTATTCCCCTAGCCCACACTTTCTGTGAGGGAGGCAGACGAGATCTCACCAGGAGCAGAGCCGGGAAAGGAGCTTTCACCGAGCGTGTCCTGCCCTTCCAGGCTGGTGGAACTTAGAGCGGCCACTGTGAGTGGGAAGCCAAGCTGGTGCCCCAGGGGTTGGAAACACCGATGACGTCAGTCCACGTGCACGGCCCAGACCCTCCCGAGGCCCTGCGTGTGGGGAGGCTCCTCGGTCACGGCGCTGGCCCTGCGCCCCCGGGGACGGTCCCTGCTGTGTGGACTCATTTCCAGTTAGCAAGCAGGGACAAACTGAGTTCACAGAAGGGATGGGGAAGGACTCGCACAGCGAGAAGCAGCGGCTCGGAACTGTTCGATCCAGGCCCGCGGCTTGGAAGGCGGCCGCAGTGACAATGAGCACACAGCCATTTCAGCCGCTCCTGACCTTGCTGTCCAGGGGCCACTGCGGGTGACCCCGGGGCCATCAGGCCTCGTGTGGCCCCTCGTGCCCGTGGGGGACCATTCTGCCTGGCTCAGGCGGAAGCCCTGGCAGTGACCCCAAGTGTCCCAGAGCCTCGAGTGCCTCCGAGACCCTGTGTCTCGGGGATCCGTGAGGGCCACGTGTCCCACCGGAGCTTTGCTTCCTTCCTTTCCTGTTTGTGTTGTTTTCCGGTGCTTTCAAACTCATAAAAAGTCGCGAAACTACTAGACAGCAGCGTTTCCCTCCACCCCGCTCACCAGCGCCGATCCCAGGCCACACGTGGCTGCTGTCCTCTGGTCTCACGGCACACGGTGCACAGAGGCCGACGCACAGAGACATTAGAGATGCCCGTGGACAGACACGGATGCAGAGACAGGGACACGGGGCTGGAGACAGCAGGACCACGGGCTCACGCTGCTGGGCCATTGGAGACGCACCCCCGAGGGCCCCTGCTTCGACCGCCCACGTTTCAGTGAGTTTCCTCAGTCAAGAACGCGTTCTTCTACGACCACCGCATGCTGCCGCCGCCAGGAGTCTAACCCGACACGCCGCTGTGGCCCCCTGACAGCCCCCGCTCTGCAGTGACAGCTGCATTCTGCCCGGGTGCCTTGTCCTGTTCACTTACACCGGAGAGGCTCGGCGCCCGGCTGCCACAACCAGCCCAGCTGGTGCCACGGGCGGTGTGCCCAACACAGGCCCCAGAAGGCCGCCTGGGAGCCCTCTGCTGACGGACTGTGCCTCCCTGCCTCGAAGGGCACCCACACAGCAGCACCTGGCCTGCCACCCCGAAGCGCCTGTCTGATTCCAGGACCAGGAGTTCAGCTCCCTGACTCAGCAGTGCGGTTCCAGCTGTTTGCTGCGAGAGCGGTCCTGAGAGTGACCGTGAGCGCACAGCTTCTGACTCCCTGCTGGAGTGCAAGCTCGGCTTTGGCCCCGGCAGCGCGAGGACGACACAGGCCATCTCGCCACGCTCGTGCTGAACCCTCGCCGCCCGGTCTTCTGGGCTTTTTAGAAGGAACTTTCTCGAGCGACCCTGCCCTGCTGACTCCAGTGGTTCGAGCAGACACGCAGCTCTGTGTTGCCCATCATCTGTCATCTGTGGGCTCAAGTGGAGTCCTTGTTCCAGGGGCTGGATCAGCGCTTAGTGGGGCACCAGCCTGTCAACAGCTGGGCAGGACAGAGGAGACCACCGTGGGTGCCCCTGAGTGTTCCTATCCTTGGGCCACTCAGCCCTCTGGAGCGGAGCTTGGAAGAGCAGCCAAGCCCCGGTGCATGAGCTGGGGGCAGACAGTGGCCCGGTCTGTGGTGCCCCCGCCCATGTTCCAGGCAGAGGGCGCAGAGGGAGCTGACTCCTGGCCTGCATGGCTTAGGGTAGACACGCCAGGAGGAAGTAGCCACGGAGCTAGGACACGCTGGCCACTCAGCATCCACCACGAGCCGGGAGACCTGTTGCTGGTCTACCTTGAGCCTCACAGCGTGCAGTGTGCGAGCAGAGGCATCGCCCAGAGACAGTCCCCTGGTGCACACACAGTGCCCTGGGCATGTGGTAGGGATGTTCTAGGCTGAGTATAGGAGCCAAAGAAGGGACAGACAGACAGCAGGCTTTGGGCCGGCTGGGTCCTACAGAGGGCCCAGGAGAGACGCACCTAGCAGGTACAGAGAGCTCGTCCTCAGACAGCCGGATGTGGCTGCCCATCGCCAGGGCCCAGATGCATTTTCTAAACCAGTGTCTGCCACAGGCACCCAGGGTCCCTCAGGACAAGCGTGGGGCCTCCTGGGGGCTGTGTGGAGCCTGATTTGAGCTCATCTGAGGCCCCACTTTGCTTGGAGCAGGATGAACTCTCTGAGCAGGTCACACAGGCAGCACATCAGGGGATTTGGGTGTGGAGGTTGAGGCCCAGCTGCCTTGGGCAGTAATGGGGAGGACCAGGGGTCTCAAGGTGGGGTGGGCAAGGCTGCCACTGTGAACACCATGTCAGCCCAAGAGGCTACGGTAGCCTGGATGCCCACAGGGCAAGCCTCCCGCCTCCTTGTCTCTCAGATAACCTCGCTCCCAGCCAGGGTCGCTGGTGCTGACTCGGGAAGGCTGGCACACCCATGTCTGTGCTGGCCCTGGAGGGAGGTTCTGCTCTGTGGCTGCTGTTCCGAGCGCCTGAGGTATTTGGTCCCAGGCCCAGCCTTGTGTGCAGCTGCTGCTGGGGAGGGCTGGGCCGTTGGCCCAACGTGGGCTTGGGCGCGGGACCACAGCGGGCCGAGGTGCCAGTCACAGGGGAGGCCTGGACGGGGCTGGTGTCTTGGAGACACTCAGAGCTGTGTCCCTCCAGTTCCTTGACCGCTGGGGTCCACAGTGCCTTCACCCCACGGGGGAGTTGAGACAGGGCCAGGCGCCCAGGACATGTGGGCATCTGGAGCTCACCAGGAGGGTGGGGACAGGAGCGCCCAGGCTCCACAGGCACAGGGCGCTGCTGGTGGCTGGTACAGAGGGCAGGCCGAGGATGAGCGACTGCTGCCTGGTCATGGCTGCCAGCCCTTCTCTGTCAGCCCTGCTCCTGCTGCGGGTGTGCGGCTGGGCCCCTGAGGCTCCCCAGAGGAGTCCACGGTGCTGGCCCAGCCCCTCTTCCCTGTCCAGCTGGTAAGCCTCAGAAAAGGGTCCGACCTGCTGCTCTGAGGTCCTTGCAGTGTGGTGGAGCTTTTTGGAACTCCAGCTGGGCTGAGTTTTGTGTCTACCAAGGAGACAGCTGGCCTTTGCCAGGGGGCGCTGGACCCCACGTGGGGCACCATGGCAGGCCTGAGCCAAGACGCCCAGCTGGTGGACGTGGACCACTGTGGCTCCTTGGTGTGGGAAGGGCACACAGGAAGTTCACCAGCATGGGATCTACTCTGCCTGCCCTGGGATGTGTCACTGCCCCAGCACGCGCACCCAGAGGGGCGCCCACGGCCCTGTGGGGCACAGTGTCCAGATAGCTTATGGCCTGTGTGTGACCCACCTGCTCCAGATCGCCCACCCAGGGAGAGGGACGAGAGCCAGCACCGGCTTAGACATGAGGTCCAGGGAAGCAGGGACGGCCACAGCCATTAGTCAGACGACCAGAATGTCCCCGCGGCACACCGCTGGCAGCCATTGCAGTCATCTTAGTGACTCAGCCTGAGAAGTCCTGCAGATGATTGGAATAGCCTGTCAGTTCCTGGGAGGGGAGCTCAGAGCTCCCGAAGGACGAGGGCCCTCCACCGACGTGCTCCCACCTGGGCAGGCGAGGCCGGCCCCTGAGAGCGAGGTCTCCCTCTGGCGTACCCGCAGGTCCCCTGGCTCCCGGGAATTTGGCCACAGGTACGTGTGTGACCTGGGTCACGGAGCTCGGCTGGGGCAGGTCGTGGGACCACCGAGGGAGGGTCTCAGACCCGTGGCAGAGCAGGGATGGAGGCTGAGACCCAGGGCACTGGCTGGAGCTCGCGTCCTGGTCTGAGCCACGCCGGGGCCCTGTGTGTGCGGGACCCTGGGTGCTGTGCTCAGGCCCCTGGAGCAGGTGAGCGGGTGTGTGCTGAGGTGGGAGGGCAGTGTCCACAGGAAGAGCAGGAGCACCAGGGCTGGAAGGCGAGGCAGGACGTGCTGGGTGGGGCTCGCTGCGGGGCTTCCGTTCCTGGCAGGAGGAAGGATGCTCTTCTGCCACCTGTGGGGGGGGGGCGAGCCTGGGGGGCTGCTCCCTGGGCAGGAGGACGTGTCTGACACACCTGACTGCTTGCGATGCGTGCTGGGGTGGGTGTGCGACTAAGGTGGCCTCGGGTGCCCGGGGCGCCTGGGTCGGAGGCAGGGGAAACAGGAGGGAGGAACTCGAGGGGTCAGGGACTGAGCCAGGGGCCAGCCCCAAGATGCTGAGCCTAAGCAGCCACTGATTAGCAGATGCCCATGTATTACGCAGCCCTGGGAAGTGAAAGATGCTGCCCACGTGTAAGCTGCATGCTGCAGCCGTGGATTATGGCACCGTCTCAGCCCAGCAACAGGAACATCTGGGCCCCCAAACCCACAAAGCTTCGCAAAGCCTCCCCGGACCCCAGGGCCAGCACAGCTGCGTCCTCCGAGGCCTAGAAGGATGCGTGGGGCTGTGGAGGGAGCCACGGAATGCTCTCTTCAACCCAAAACTCTCAGTCCCGCTGTCCACAGCGTCTGGAGGCTGAACTTCCCTGGAGAAAGGGAGGTCTCTCTCTTCTGGGGCAACAGCACCGGTGGCAGGGAGGCACCAGATGCCCAGCAGGAAAGCAGGGACACAGCTCCCGGTACATGGACCTCAAAACTAGGCCCACCTGCCGTTGCAGTGCTGAGATCCGTGGCTCCTGGGTGTCTCGAAACTGGAGATGCTGGCTGCAGGCGGGTCTGTCCATGCCGGGCTGGGCAGCAGGGCCAGCTTGGGGTCCCTTTCTCCTCCTGAGGACACCTCAGCTCCTTGGACGGGGGCTGGCACTTATGTCCTGATTACTCAGAACAGTGGCATGTGGGCCGGACGCAGACTTATTTTCACACGGGTGCCATTCCTGCATCGGGGCCTGGTTGTGTCAGCCTGCAGCTCTTGTCCCAGTGTCTCATCCACCCTGTGCTTCCACGGGCACTGCTGAGCCAGGCTCAGGCACCTCGGGCCCCTCAGTGGCTCTCAGGTGGGGCCCACAGGATGTCAAGGATCTCGCAGGGGCTTGGGAGAAGCCCTCCTACCCTGAGAGACGGCCCTGTCAACCCCACCTTGACATCAGGGCCCCCTGGTAACTGTTTAAAAGAGTTTGTGTGGCTTCTAAAATCAGACTCCCTCTTCTGGGGAAGCTGTTCTCTCCTCTCCTGCCAGTCCACTTCTAATTGGCCAACATCTCTTCATCTTGACCGCTTGGGTTTCCATCATGAGTGGAGCTGGGCACCACCGTGTCCTGTCTATGGATCCACCATTATTTGGGCATCCTTGGTGGCAGACATCGGGGTGTTTGTTGACACATATTTCTGTAGTGTTGGGATGACCCCAGCCCCATACAGGGTAGGTGACTGCTCTTGCTTTGATCCATGCCCCAGCACCAGGATGCTTCCAAGGATAGGATTATAATCCTATAATTAGCACAGCCAAGACCCTTCAGCCCTTGAAATTTGTGTTCTATGTCTCTGGTTGACTCTATAGAATGAACCCCGGATAGGTGCAACTACAGTGCCAAAACTCAGGGTGCATTTTACCGTCACCACCCAGACAGGTGGAAGGCGGCTCTGGCCCCTACCTGCTGCCAGGGAGCCCATCCTGTTGTGATCCAGGCCACCGTGGAGTGGAACTCCTCAGCCTGCCGGAGGAGCCAGGCCTGGCAGGGAAGTGTGGGACAGGTGCTGTCCAGCCTGGGGCTCCCGCTTCTCTTCCCTCTGTGGTGCTGGCTCCTGGGGGACCAGCACCCCTCTGCAACAGCTACTTCCTGCCCAAGAGCTCAGTGGGGAAATAGCCCATCCCCTCCAGCCTAGGCCCAGAGGGGGAGCGACTGCAGATCACCTCAAATTCTCTGCCCTTGGGCCTTAGATTGAGGTGGAATTCAGCACATTGTTAATGTTATCTTTCCTTGGGAGATGCGCAGAGGACACAGAACATACACTTTTTATACTGAACTCTCTTGCCTATTTGTGCAAGCAAAATACATGCTTTTTATCGGAGAGCATGTTATACACGCAGAGTGGTTTTCCAAAGTGCTTTTACAAAGCCGATGAACGCGGGCCTGGATTTCCAAGGGCTGGGGAACAAGGGCTAGTGCAGCCTACCAGGTAACAGCTGTGGGTCCCTGACGGCCCCAGTAGACCAGGCCCCCAACTCACACTCTTCCTATGGATCCTGGGGGTGCTTCCAACATGGGGCTCCCCTCCAGGAGCTCTGTGGAGTTCCCTGGGGACCATGGGGATGAAATGTATAACCATTCATTTCTTTTTCCCACAGCCCAAAGAGCAGCAAGACCCACAGAGACATAGTGTCCATGGATGCACAGGCGCTGAGGAAGAGGCTCAGCTACACCAGCAGTGAGGCAGCCCGCGCCCTGCTGGCCAATCTTCTGCTCTACGTCCTGGACCGAGCTGAAGGGCCTCCGAAGGCCAAGGACGGGGAGCATAGAGCCAGCTGCCCCACCCTGCCCCAAGAGGCCAGCCGGCGGCCCACACGCTTCCAGCTTCTGCAGGCCAAGTTCATGGGCCGGGGCCGGGAGCCCCCCCTGAAGAGGACCCGGGAGGTGGGCCGGCTGATCTCCAGGGACAGGCAGGGGCCTGGCCGGAGCTTCGTGAACGCCACCATCAGCAAACTGCTGGAGAAGGCCCAGGGGAGCACCAGCAGCCCCAGCCAGAGGCCTGCAGCCCGAGAGAAGCCCTGCTGGGGCAGCCCAGGTGGGAAGAGCACGGTGAAGAACATCCTGAGGAAGTTCCTGGCTGCGGAGGAGAAGGAAGCACGCGAGCGCCTGCCCAGCCTGAGGCCTGGCTCCACCAGGGGCCCACTGCTGAAGGTGGCTGGCAGAAGCACCGTTCTCGCCCAGCTTCGGGACAGGTTCGAGCAGAGTGGCGGCCTCCAGCCGGAGCCCACGGTGTTGCCAGTGCACAGGGAGGGCCGGAGGAGCCGGGCCCTGCGGAGGAGGATACAGCGGCCAGAGCCCCGCGTGCTCCACACGGCCACCATGGCCGCCAGCTGCACCAGGACACCCCCTGCCCGCTTTCTGGCCTGCACAGCTGAACCCCTGCCGGCCCTCAGCATCGCCACTGTGGTGGGCAGCCCCCGAAGCTGGCTGTCCTGCTGCACCAAGATCAGTCACTTGGATGCCAGGCGTCAGGCCAGGACAGAGGCCAGCCTATACCCCGGCGTGGGGCACGCAGAGCCTGGTGGGAATGAAACCCCAAGACTGGGCATCCTGAGCGGGGATCCCAGAGGACAGTGGAAGCCTTCAGAGTCCTCTGTGCCCCAGGCCACGGCTCCGTGGGACCCCCACCTGGCCCTGAGCATAGCAGGTGCTCCCCAGTCAGAATCCCCTTGTGCTTCCGGCAAAGATGGAGCCCTTCCAGGCCATATGCCCGCTGTGGCCCTGCTCCGTCCTGCCAGCCCCAGGGATGCTAGGCCAGCTGGAGGTGACAGGACGGTGGAACCCACAGCAGCAGGGGCTGCAGGCCACATCCCCGGGGTAGAGGAAGGCGCAGGGGAGGCCCCCCAAGTCCCCATGACCATGTGCGGCTCTGAGGATGAGGCAGAGGGCACTCTTCTGGCCTCTTCGAGAGAGCTCCTCTTTGCCACCCAGGGGTGGCTACCCAAGCCTCAGCGGGAGGCCGAGCCCTGTGTGCCCCCAGCCCCTCCAGCTCCACAGGCGTGGCAGCACACACAGCCAGGTGTGGGGTCCCCGCAGATAACCGTGCGGCTCCCTGCTGTCCCCCGGATGCCAGCCGTACGCACACCCCAGCGCAGCACACTGAGCCCCGGGGCCCGGGGCCCTCTGGTGTCACAGGGAGAGGCTGTGATGGGAAGGGCGGCCCCTAGCCCTGTGGCAGCAGGCAGCAGGGACACCCAAGCCCTGGCAGGGCTCAGCAGGCCAGGCCAGGTGTCAGAGAGCTCCCTGTCCGCAGAGCCAGGACCTCAGGGAGCCCTGAGAGATGCGGCGGGCATGGACCACAACACCCCACAGACGGTCCTGACGCCAGAGCCCCCAAGATCTACTGGAAAGGGAAACCCCTGCAGCCAGCCCAGGCCTTCAGGACCCACCGTCTCTGTGTACAGTGGCGAGATCCATGCCTTGCCAGAATCGAAGGAAACTAAGATGCTGAGTAAGGCCCCCTTGTCCCATCACCCCACAGCGTGGAAAAGCCATCCAGCGGGGAGCGCCCACGCTTCCCCTGCCCCTGCCTGCCTGCCAGGGCCGGGTCCCCAGGAGAGAGGTTCCTTGCTGGCAGTGCCCCAGGATTGCAGACAGCCTGAGAGTCCTACCTCCTTGGACCAGAGCATCTCCTGTGGCCAAGAAAAGCCCCCAGGGCTCCCGACAGAGCCGGCTCTGCCCCTGGGGATGGCCCCAGGAAACCCCAGCACTGACTTGGGCAAGAACCGACCACCCTGGCAAGGTGAACAGCCCAAGACAGGCATCCCAGCCTCCAGGGAGACAACAGCTGCAGGGAAGGCCCAGGGTCCCACAGCTCCACTTGCAGGTCCCCAGAAAACACTACCAGCTGACCCCCAGACAGCACCACAGGCTGAGGCCCAGGCCCTGGAAAGGAAGACAATAGAACTGACTGCTTTGGATGAGGAAGGAGGCAGAGCGCTGTCTGCATGCCCCTGTGCCACTGCAGGAGGGGGGCTCCCCCGTGAACTGGCACCGAGCAGGCCCTCGATGCACAGGATAGGAGCCACAGAAGGGGACACTCTGGGCCAGGCCCAGCACCAGGCCCCCATAAAGCCACCCCCTACCACGAATCCGGAGGACACAGCTGAGCCCTGCCCTGCCCTTGTGGTGCCACGGCCGTGTGCTCCAAGCGACTTGGAAGTGAGCAGCCCTAGTGCATCTGCAGAGGACGTCCGTTCCATGGGAGGGAGTGCTCTGTGTAACAGCGTGATGTCCCAGACACCGACTGCCAGGCACCCCCAGAGTTCCAAGGGCTGCAGCCTGGGCCAGCCAGATCCAGCCCCTACGGAGGAAGCCCTGCCCACCCAGAGAGCCCCAGAGCTTGCTGCCCCTGGCCGGCAGGCAGAGCCCAGGGCTGTCCCCAAGGCCGAGAGCTCAGGCCCAGCCCCAGCCCCAGCAGGCATGGGGCCCCCAGAGAGTCACCGTGGGCCTGTGCACTCACAGCAGATAGGACAGTGGGATAGTCCTGGAGCAATGATGACACCTGTGGGCCAGGAGGTGGGGGGGTGCGAGCCAGGGCCTTGGGCAGCTCTGGACCTGGCAGGGATCGAGAAGCCAGCAACAAGGGAGAAGCTGGGAGCTGCCAGAGCCCGAGACCAGGAGCATATGCAGGGGCCCAGGGTCGGGCGGGGGAGCAGCCCGGCCCAGGGAGATGGTACATGGGCTGCAGCGACCCCAGCTGCACAGGCCCAGGGCTGGGCCAGGGGCACTGTGTCCCCAGCCACGGACCAGCCTGGCAGTGTGGCCAAGGGAGCACCCACTGTCAGCACCAGCAGGGACACCTCAGCACCAGCACCCAGCATCAGCAGCCAGGGCAGCCCGAGCACCAGGCATCCCACCCGAGGGGACCAGAGCACAGAAGCCTGTCCCCCAGAGCCCGTGGACGGCCCTGGCCTGCTCCCACCTGACGTGGGGAGCCACCAGGCCCCACAGGGCCCAGCCCAGGCAGGGGCCCCAGTCACCCCAGGGCCAGAGAGGGAGCGGTCAGATTTGGAGCAGCACAGGAGGCTGGTGCACTTCGCCAAGTACAAAGCCCAGAGCTTCAGTGACCAGAGAGCCTTCGACCTGTCCTTTAGGCCCGTGGTCCTCGGGGCCAGCAACATCTTGGAGGCACCCAAGTGAGAGCCCAGTTGGGACCCAGCACCTGGCCAGCATGGGGGAGTCGTTCGATGTTCCCTGCCTCCAGGTGCTCCTAGGAGCGATGTCTGTGCTCATCTTCCCCTCTCCCTTTCTCCCCCTGCCTGGGCTGACCTCAGGCTGCCTTGGGCTGACCCAGGGAGTGCATCCTGCATGGCGCTGTGCAGGTTCTTCAGCTTTGCGTTTTCCTCTTGGGACGAGGAAGGGGCCGGGCTGGGCCTGCTGCTGTTCGTGTCCCTTTGCTATTCCAGGTCCGGGAGGGCACAGCTCAGTGCACGCCCACCCTCTCTGCACCCTTCATGTACTTGGGACCTCTGCTCCCCACCTGCTCTCCATCCCTGCATGACCCAAGCCACAGGGATGCCCCAGGTAGAGTCAGAGGCTCAGCAGGATCTGGGCCTCGGTCAAGAACCTGCTGGTCCTTACCACAGACCACGGGAGATGCCCAGCAAGCACAGGGAGTCACAACAGTGTCCACTGACTCCAGCTGCTGCTGCTCAGAAACTGGCGGTTAGGAGAGCCCCATCGCCAGAGTCCTGTTGGGCTGTGGACTTCTTTGCTTATGTTCCCGTCCTGGCTGCAGCCTGAGCTGCACGGATTGAACTGTTTCCCATTGTCTAGAGTATTTGCTCTTGTGAGGAAGCGGTAAACAGAGTCACGGACCATTGCCCAGCCTCCTAATCAGGACCCACAATTGAGCAACCATGGGAAAGCTGGGGGGTCCAACTATCTCTGTGGAAAATTCGTTTCTGCTTTGTAAAGACCACAGATGCCACTGAGCAATCTTCCTTCCTTCCTTCCTTCCTTCCTTTTTTCCAGTACTAGGGATGGAACCCAGGGTCTTGTGTTGAGCTGTGTTCCCAACCTTTTTTTGAAACTTTTTATTTGTGGCAGAATCTGACTAAGCCATCAAATTACCCAGGCTGGGCTCAAACTTGCAATCCCTGCCTCAGCCTCCCAGATGCTGGGATTGCAGACGTGTGCCACCATGCCTGGCTACAATGGAGCCATTTCTTCAGACACATCTCATCTCAGAGAAGCTTCTACACACACACTGTGACCTCCTTGGTTTTCCGATTTGAATACACACCCAGGGAAAGGCATTTTCTAAGTCAGACTTTGAGAAGGCATCTGGCAGGAGCATCCTGTCCAGGTAAGGCCAGGACGGTGTGAGTAGACACTGGACCACACGCAGGTACTGTTGAGCACTGAGTGCCACAGTGCTTTGTCCAGAATGGCCCATATGTTTCCCCCTGTCTTCCCCTCTCCAGTCAGTTGATTAATTCAAAGTCTGGCTAATGGAACGTCTAACCCACAAGGAGAGCTAGAACCAGGGCCAGGAGGGCGTTGGCAGGGTGTATCAGTGCTCCCCAGCACTTCTCAGCCTCCACAGGGCGCCCGGCTCCCAGCCCCCTCAAGGCTCCCAAGGGTGGGGGTTTTGGGGTTCTGGCAGTGAGGTTGGTGTGTGTTAAAGTGACTGCACACAGGGCACCAGCAGCACAAGGGTCAGACCACCCTGTCCCCTGGAGCTCCAGGCAGGCACCTGTGGAGCTGCAGGCGCAGTGCCCCTGCCCAGGAATTGCTCCTGGGTGGGGCTGGCTTCTGGTCCTGGCAGAGAAGCTGGGCAGCGCCCTGCCAGCTGTGCATGCCTCATGCTTGTTTTCTGTCTTTGCACTTTGATCAGCAAGGACGGGAGGCAGTGGTGGGCAAGAATGTGAAGACAGACAGAAGAGATGAAGTCTCTGCCACAGGGCGCTTCCTCAGAACCAGGAGCAGGGCGACTTAGCAGGAAGTCTGGGAGGTAGGCCACTGCCAGGCGTTGGGGAGCATGTGAGCGGACCCGCACCAAGGACAGCAGAGCAGGTGGCCGGGGCCGGAAGTCGCTGCCCCTCACTGCCAGAGCACCTCGGTGGCGCCAGGGGCCTCGTGTCCCGGGAAAGCTGGGCGCCAGCCCTTCGTGTGAGCCCGCTGGGAGCAGAGATGCACTTCGAACTGGCTGTCACTGCTGTGGGGGCAGCCCGCGCTCCTGGGCGGGGTGCAGCAAGGGCTCAGCATGGGTTTCAAGTGAGACTCAAAATGCAAAGAGAGAAAGGCACGCTGCCTCCTCTTGTCTGTCCCTGAGGCTTCTGCCCAATGCGGGAATGGCTCCCGGCTGCTCCGGCCCCGGGCAGGCGTTCCTGAGGTGCTCGGCTACAGCGGACACGGGGCCATGGGAAGCGGGGGCTGTAGCAGGCTCCTTGGCTCTGCGCGTCAGTGTCCCTGACGCAGCAGCACTCCCAGCCTTGAAGGCGCCCTTGCAAGCATCCTGGCCAACTGCACTGTGGCCTTTTCACTGTGTGTCGGTCCGCAGCTAGGTAACCCTCCCTGCCTGCATCCTTCAAGTGCATAAGCAGCTGTAAAATGGATTGGTCAGAAAAAAGTAACTGCATGTATTTTTTGTATTTTCTCTTTTGAATTTTTACTAACTTTGTAGAGCTTGGAATAGTTTTTTGGGGGAGGGTATATCCTTTTATTGGTACATTTTAGGTGTACAATATAATGACATTCATCATTGGAAATTTGCACCTTTACATAGTCTCTCTTGGTCCTTATTTTTCCCCCTTCTCCTGTCCGCCCTTCAACCCCTCCATCTCTCCCTATTTACTGTCCTGGCCCGCGGGTAAGTCAATGGAGACCCTAGAGGGGGAGTGAGAATGACAAGGGACAAGAGACACGAGAGATGGAGACAAGACAGGTTTCTGATCAAGTCTCGTTTATTGCGGAAGCTGCTACAGCATATATACCGTAGGGCTAGAGGGAAGGAGCAAGGGGAGGGTACTGGGGCTACTTCCTTGTTGCCGGGTAGACTTGTAGCAGGCCCAGACATGCCCGTAAAAGGCACTCAAGAGTTCTAGCGGGGGGGGCAAGGCCCCCCACAATTTACCACGACTTAGTTTCCATTTTTCCTTTTCTCATATGAATTCCATTCCCTGCTTTCCTTTCCCCTAGCCCTCCCACTTCCCCCTCCCCTTTGCCAAGCTGGGAATACTTTTAAGGAAAGGGAAATAAAGTCTATTTTGTATTGCAAATCTCCTCCCTGCATCTTTGAGGGGCTGCATAAGGGAGGAAGGACACCCCTGTCGGAGTGGACACAGATACAGGTCCGCGTGAGGGGCTCAGGCCAGCCCTAGGGGAGGTGTGGAGGAGGACCCCAGGGTGTGCGCTGGGAGGACCCTGTGACAATCCCGGGAGCTCCCTGGGTCTCGCTGAGGAATCGTGCCGCTCTGAGTGGAAGGCGCACTGAGCGAGGGAGCTGGAGAGGCAGGGCAGCCTCGGGCACTCCGAAGTCAGGCAGAAAAGCAGTCCCTTGGGTGCGGCTGCCCATTGTCCATCACTGCTGTATGTGGAGGGCAGGGGCCTCTGGCCATCTCAGGCCCAGGCTGCCACACCCGTGTCCCCATGAGTGGCAGCCTGGCAGCTGCTCCTGGCTAGGTCTGGGGTGGTGCCGGCACCTTTGTCTGAGGAAGAAGACCCTGCCACTGGAGCCACAACACTCCACAGCACTCCTGTCACATGGAGCCTTTATTCCAGAAGCTCCGGTTGGAAGAGCTCTTTGGTGGGAAGGGAGCACGAAGAAGGGGAAGTAAAAAGAATCCAGACTCTTTAGGTTATGTTCCAGCTCTCCACAAGGAAGGGAGTCACTATGTACTGCAAACATGCACTCATACTTTTTTAAAATAAGAAAACAGAAGCAACAGGGGACACTGGATGTCCCCAGAGCTGCGGCAGGGGGAGTTCCAGGTTGCGCCCCAGTCGGCCATGGAACCACACATCTTTGGGCCAATGCATACATACACGTGATCGTGGCTGGTCAGGGCCATCTTCCTGAGCTGGGGTGGACGGAGGCCTCCCAAACAGGACATGGCAGCACTGAGCACTAAGCACTCACTCTTGGGTGTGCTGAGTGCTGGTCTGTTTGCCAAAACTTGGTCTATGACGGCCACGTTTCCAGAAAGAGTTGATGGAACCACTCGGAGCCTGTGGCAGTTAGCTCACCCCATCCATGTGCCCTGGAACCCAGAGAAGGTGTAGGGACCAATCGAGGACCCAAAGCCGGGGAGGTCCAGGCATCTTCCCGAAAGACACACAGGGCCTGGCAGTACCGTGGGGTGGGGCAGAGAACCACAAAGCTCTGTGGACCATGTGGGTCCCATGTGCCTGGGATGGGGCCAGTAGCCCACTCTCCAGAGACTGCAGCTCAGAAGTGTCCATCTTTCAGAGATAAAGACAAAGCTGCTGAATCCTGGGTTCCAGTGCTTAGTCGGTCAATGATGCCAAGAAGGTCATAATGAGTGGGTGGATCTCCTAGGTGAGGTGACCGCAGCTTCCCATGCACATAACACGCTGAACATGCACAGAAATAGATGTCATGGGGGCATGGCATGGCAAGGACAAGGTGCTGCGCATGCAGGCAGGAGACCCCTTCCTGCAGGCTGCAGGCTCAGGCTGGAGCGGCACCAGCACTTCGCACCTCCTGACATCATGCAAGGAGTCAGGGCCACCATCCAGCCTGCTGGCCCTGGGGGACGGGCAGGGGTGTTGCCTCACAGCCCAGGGTGAGGCATGGTAGTGATCCGGGGTTCTTGGTGGTGCAGAAGATCCGGGGAAGATGGCAGGTGAAGTAGGATAAAGGCACACAGGAGGGTGTGCAGAGTCATCTGCAAATGTCGAGTTTATGGCCCCTTTTGTCTGCGTGTGTCTCTCCCACTTGAGTTCGTCCCAGGCTGCTGAAACACTTCTGGGATCAGGAAACAAGTATAGCACCTGCATCTCTGCGGCCAGGGACGCTGGCAACTGACACCCGCTCCCTGTTTGCCAGCGTGTGACCTAGCCCAAGGCACCAGATGCTCTGCTGGGGACAGGGACTCAGGAGGCTTCCTGGGTGAAGTCGCTGTGGGTTGTCAACACTTGGGGACTTCAGCAGTCCCTTCCCATGGTGGACCTGGGGTGCTGCCCACCTCTGCACCTTGTCCTCGGGGCCACCAGGGGGCACTGGATGTCCCCGGAGCTACAGCAGGGTGAGTTCCAGGTTGCATCCCAGCCTGCCAGGGGACCACACAAACCCCGAAAGGACTGCCCCTGTGGGGTTGTGTACGTGAGTGAGTTACCTACCGCACAAACCTGTAAAAAGGGCTGGGAACCCTGGGCAGCCCTGGTGTTGATGACAGGGTGAGGACCAGCTGGCCTCTGCCCAGGGCTGGCCATAGCTGAGGGCCTGCAGCTCCACGGGGCTGAGGTGGCTGCTGATAAATGTCAGCAGCTTCTGCAAACAAAGGCTCCTGGGGAACCTGGCTGGAGCTGCTGGTGGCCAAGACTTTCCGCTGGCTGGCAGGAGCAGCAGAGCTGCAGGCCACACCAGGTCCGTGCTGCCGGACATCGTTCCTTTATTTTGCTCTTTAAACTATTGGTCTCTCTTTTAGGAGAAACTGTGCAACTTTTACCCTTCTGTGCCTCACTCACTGCACTTCCCATCCAGGAAGACATCAGCCAGGCAAGCTCTTCCTGAAGGATTCACTTTGCCTGTTTTAGAGAAGGCTCAGAAGAAGTGGGACACTCTTTGTTTGCAGGCTGAGCAGTGCCCAGGAAGTGACCTGCTTCAATAAAAAGATAGAACTTGGATCGGGGACTTGGCTCATAGGTTCCACCTCCTGCCTCACAAGTGCAAGGACCCAAGTTCGATCCCCGGTACCAAAAACCCCCCCAAAACAAAAATAAAACAAAAGACAGAACTTTAGGGCAGAGCAAAGTCCTCACTTCGCCTGCCTTCTGACGCAGTCTTTCCAGGAGGCTGGAGCAGCAGTGCTTCACCTCAGTCCTGGGTCACCGTGCTCAGCACCAGGTGCTCCCAGCAGCCTCTTGGGACCTCTCTTAGGACTGAGGTGCTACAGTGAGGAGGAGAGGCGTCCCTTGGGCCGTGTATGGCCACCGATGCTGATTCGTAACACCTGCAGTGTGAAGTCACATCAGGGGGAGCTTGCTCTGGAGTCTAGATTCCGAGTGATTCACAAGGCAGGCTCTTTCCCTCTCTCTCTGTCTCTCCCTCTCTCTCTGTCTCTCCCTCATTTGTTTGTTTGTTTTGCAGTACTTGGCTCAAACCCAGCAAGGGGTGCTGTACCACTGAGTTCTCCCAGCCGGTTTTAGTTTTTAGTTTGAGACAGGGTCATGCTAAGTTGCCCAGGCAAGGTCTTGTACTTCCAGTCCTCAGGGCTGAGTTACAGGCCTGCCCCACCACACCTGACCAACTCCAGTGGCTTTCTGATCATACATGTTTGTTGACTACCTGTCCCTGTCCCAGGTAACAAAGAACCAGGTTTTAAGGAGATGCCCTGCTAGTCTCGTGAAGTGGTTCTTCGTCCAAAACAGGCTCTTGTGGCCACCTTGTAGCTCCATGGTAGAGCGCCTGCCTGGCACACATGAGGCCCAGGGTTCGAACCTCAGCACCATAACACAAAACAAAACAACCACAAAACCACAGGCTCTCCTCTGGCTCCTGGAAACCCTCTCACATTACCAGCCAGTCCAGAGAAGTCAAGACAGCTTGGAGCTAGTCAGGGCACAGCCCCCTCATGAGCCACCAAGGGCCCCAGCACCTCCCTTCCCCAGGGACTCTGATCTCGGAAACAGATTCCATGCAGTCTTGGGTCTGTTGCTGTGCTCTCCACATCGACCTTTGGGTTCAGCAGCCCCTAATTCAGGTCTCTGGGAGCCTCAGATTAGGACTTTCTTTGGAAAGAGGGTCTTTGCAGGTATGGCTGGTTCAGATGTGGATCCTTGGGTTAGGGTGAGTCTGCAGCAGGACCTGGAGGCCAGGGAAAGCTGGAAAAGCTCAGGGTCTCTCCCTTTATTTTTATGCTGCCTTGGTTTGCTCTGGGCTCTGCATACCAGATGTTAATTGCAAGGGGACTGTCTGTATTAGAAGCTGTATTAGCCCTAAACTGACCTTCAAGATTAGGACATCACAGTAAGAGTAACTAAAGTTATCCTCAAGATTTTCAGGGTGTCCAACCACCAACTTTTACAACATTCAGTTCCAGCCACCTGAGTGATGTCTCAAAGTCCAGGGACAACGCCCTAAACCTGCAGTCACCCCGGGTTCCAGGACAAGCAGGACCTGGCTAACCACTCCATGGTAGGGTCACCTCCCCAACAGGAGCACTCACCTGTGACAGTAGCAGAGCTGGCCCACAAACCACCACCGAGCTCATGGGGACTGGGCAAGCCCACCGCTGCACCCAAGACAGGATCCCTGGTCCACCCTGCAGACCCAGGCACCCTCAGCTCCTCGCACAGTGAAGACTTTCCTGTCTGCTCTTCTGTCCTTTCTCGGTCTGGTGCCCCTTTCACTTTCCCTTACTTTCAGTGAGAGCTTTTCCTGTGAATCTGTGCTAAATGCCTCGTTTCATCTCCATGATCACTGAAGCGAGAGCCATGCTAGCTGGTGCCAGGCCCTGAGTCAGTGTGTGTCCTTCTAGGAGGAGGAGGTGCCTCACAGAGGAAGGAGGAAGGGCCTGGGAAGATGGCACTGAGGCCGAAGTGGTGCCCCCAACCCACCGATGCCCACTTGAGGAGCTCAGGGCACTCCTGGAGCGGGAGGCCTCCAGAGCCTTCAGGAGC